GTATTGATGAGCTTTAAAGGGATAGTTCACCCAAAAATTTTAATTTTGTCATTAATTACTCACCCTTATGTTGTTCCAAACCCGTAAGACCTCATCTTCGGAACACAAATTAAGATATTTTTGATGGAATCTGAGAGCACTCTGACCCTCCCATAGACAGCAAGGGTCCTTACACGATCAAGGCCCAGAAACATAGCAAGGACATCGGTAAAATAATCCATGTGACATCAGGGGTTCAACCGTAATTTTACAAAGCTACGAGAATACTTTGTGTGCAAAAAATTTTTATTCAACAATTCGTCTCCTCTGCGTCACCCTAGCACCATTTAGGAGAGTATCCACTGAACGTCAAAACATACTGTTTTGTGTCAGCTGTGCCACGCGGATATGCTGTTTATGTCGTTTATGCTTTGATTTGAACGAAAATGGCACTAGGGTGCCTTTAGAGAGAAATGCATCTTTACGGATTACATAATGAAAGAGTTTTTGTTTTCGATTTGAATTATTTCTTTTAAAATAGTCATTTAAAGCATTCTATAAATATATTTATCATGTCGGTGAAGTGTTCCTGCTCAAGACCAAAACGACAGAAAGCGCATCCTGTTTGTTATCCTTATTTTACAAAAGCACAAGGTTTTGTTGATATTGTGAGTGCACACAGACCCTTTGTAGTTCCGAATGATGTATACTCTTACCTTTATGAGCAAAAATGCCGGCTTATTTTTAAGTTTCCACTGTTATTCAAAAAACAACGCAAGTGCTCGTGCTGGTGCCTCCATGTCATGCAAAGCACGCTTTAGTTTTCGCCGCACAAACAATTGGATATGCACCTAACAGCGCTCATTATCTAGGGTAAATGTTTAAATTAATACTGTGAAATGCATGGTGTTTTATGTCTGTTTATTTTAGGCAAGTGGTAAAAAAACAACGCAAGTGCTCGTGCTGGTGCCTCCATGTCATGCAAAGCACGCTTTAGTTTCCACTCGCCGCACAAACAATTGGATATGCACCTAACAGCGCTCATTATCTAGGGTAAATGTTTAAATTAATACTGTGAAATGCATGGTGTTTTATGTCTGTTTATTTTAGGCAAGTGGTGTTGGTTTGGGAAGGCTAAATTGATCAAACATAATGCTCAACTCACCGTCTGCCGTTGCTGCTTGGTCGTTCCTTTAAAAAACAAAAACTTGAATTTAACAAACATAACATGTTCCAAACATATTTCTAAATTAACTTAATAAAGAAACAAAAAGATATATGACCACTTTGCCATTAAAAACCAAAACGGAACAATTTTAATAGCTGTGTAATGGGGAAGAGAGAGAGAGAAAAAAGACACGGTATCCAGTCGGACTCGGGCCGGGAATTCTCAACAGCTGTTAGACAAGGGCTGGGCCCATGCAGGGCTCTATTCATTCCCTCGTTTCAATTAAAAGTTCCCCCCAGCTCGGCGGGCCCCCAAACTGCCCGGGCCCATATGCACCTCCATACCCTGCATACACAGACGCTACGCCACTAATTGTGCTGCTTCATATTTTTTGTAGAAACTTGTTCTTTATACAATTTTAATAATGATTCATTAATTACTTGATAGCATTATTTCTCACTTCATTTTGTACCTTTGAGTTTGTACCAAAAAATATGAAATTGGGTTCTCCACAAAGGATGCATGCTTCCTTATATGGCCAAGACAAAGAATATTTGACAGCAGCACAATACACAATACCTAGCTTTTAGCATCTTCATGTCTGGAGCTTGTTTATGATGATGCCTACGAAAGCAGCTCACTGGTTTTTGGAATATAGCTACAGTTATGCCACATGTAATGAGTTTGCTGAAAGTAAGCATCAGGAGGCTCTTTGTGAGTGAACGCATACTGTCTCAGGCTCAGGGAGTGCTGTGCATGGGTCATGCAGCTCCGGGCGGCTGGAGGCTGTGATCTCCTGCGGGCGCTACAGAAGGCTCGTAACAGAAGGCTCGTAACCCGCTCAGAACTGGACACACTGTTCATGAACTAGACGAAATGACTATCAACATGGGCACTATCTTCTCTAATACATTAGAAGCTGGCATGTGGTCATATAGGTCTATATATATTGTGTGCTTGGATTGAAATATATATATATATATAAATATATCTTCTGATTTAAGACAGAACTATTTAGATATGGGTCAGATGCACTATTCCCTAAACCTATACTTAAGATTAGGAGACCAAATATAACACTATAATGAATTTTTCATATTTGCCACAACATTACTACATTATATTATATGGGTTTAATACATTTGCAGACAATGTAATTACATGTAACTGTCATATAACTGTATATTCAATGTTTTAGAGAAGAGTGCCTTTGAATGTGTAGCTAATATTAAGTGGATTTTCATGAAAAAAAAATCTGCTCTAATAGCATCGCTGTTTGGACGTTTATTGGGAGTTTTTTTTTTTAATCCAGTGTTTGTTATTGTTATATCTTGCATCATTTACATCTATTTTTGCACTTGATTTTGAGGAGTTGTTACTTGATGGAGTTGTTGCCATCATACTAACTGAGATTTGATTGCAATGATTTTAAATTCAGTTGAGGTATCTGACATATTATGACATAACATTGATGTTTTATATAAAGTCTTTAGGGCCATATAGACTATAATATGTTGTTTTTAGATAAATTGCTCAGGGACCAACCAGTTGGACAGAGGTTATGTACAAATCATCCAAGCACCCAATTCCTAGCCATTTCTATAGGCTACATTTCATTAACATTGCTAAATATGATTAAACTGGAAAGAAATTAAAGATCCATCTTTGATTGTCAAAAGAATTCCAGGTTCAGTTCACTCAGCCAATTATATTTCATGTAGTATTGTCATCGGTCAGTTGTGGAGGTCTGATTGGTTAAAGCTTTGTTTATATAGTACCTTTTAAAACAGTGTTTACAAAGTAGCCTACTTTACAGAGAGATGCATATGTACATTTGCAGAAAAGATCAAAATACAAACATAAAAGAGATTCGCGCTCGCACATTGTATTAATGTGCTTTCGCGCTACAATAATGCGCTCTCGACATTACTCATCATCCTCGGCTCTCGGTGAGAGTTTGTCTTGCTGTGATGAATCACAGTTTCTTAACTTAACTCGAGCCTGCAGCCATTTCATTTCCTTCACTTTTGCAGCCGCCTTTAGGCATATTTGCAGTCCATTTTCCTTAATTAGTTTGAGTGCTATAATTGGTAATGTCTGAGGAGATGGTTTAAAAATGGCAGCCTAGGCCTATTTCCTCTCCCAGCATAATAGAGCGCAACAGCAAGTAAAATCCTTCTCATTTTCTCCATAGAGAAATAGATTTTAAGTGATGGCATGTAAAGCTTTCTAGACAGATCCACCATGAACTGTGAGGTTGTTAAGTGGTTGCTATATTTGTCTGTAAAAGACTAAAGTCAGTGCAATTTGGGGATATAAATAGCCCAACAGCACACTCCCATGAAGCATTGCAAATCATGTAATCTAGTCTCTTTACACTCTCTTTCAGCTGTTTTTTTGCTTCAAAACAAATGTTGTAATGCAGTGGCTTAATTTGGGTCTTGACTCAGAACTCTGTATCATAGTAAGTTCATGAATAGGAAAAGCAATTTGAAACCAAGGAAAATGTGTGGTCAGCTGTTTGCACTCTGTGTGAGTTACTAATGCAAAATTATAATTGGAACCTTATATAATGATTATTTGATGACTATTTTTTTTATTTTCAGCCCTGATCAGACAGTAGACATTATATGTGATTTTTTAATTCAAAACCGAACACCTTCTGTTCACTGCAGCAGGACGCCATTGTGAGTATCATAGACTGGTGTTTATGTAATACGTAGTGAGATGTTTTTCATTATTGTCACTGATTGATGTGTCCTGTCTTAGGAGACTGTGAAGCAAATGGCAGCAGTTTCCGGGGGGAGATATCACCTGTTTTCTCCTGCACTGGTAATCTGTCAAAGAAATCTTGAAATGAAACTGAAGTTGCATACAGTGGTTCCAAAAGGATTTGAACACTTAAGCCTAACCACTTAAAATATATGAATTTGACATTTGAAAGTGACATTTATTTTGTCAAACACTTTTCAAGCAAAGCGTTATTTAAAAAAAAAAGGATCATGGATCAAATGTGGACCATGTTCATATTTAAAGAGAAATAAAAAAATTGGTTTCAAAACGATCTTTCATTCATCTTCCAAACACAAATGAAGGTGATAGATTTTAGTGTCCCTTCATTGAAAGTTCAAGCTTCAGAAAGTTTATAAAAATGTCTTAAAAGTAATCCATAAGAATCAAGTCTTCTGAAGAGACACAATGAGCTCACTCGAACTTGAACTGAACTGCCTTTTACCATGTTTGATGTGCTCTATGTATGTGTTGTTCAATGTTTATATGTGAATAAAAGCCTTAAATCTCTTCATCATATAAAACCAGTGTCTGTCTTCCGAAGACTTGCAATAAAGCTCTTAATTAAATTGGATTAGTTTCATAGTGTCTTGTCTTTATGAAGTTACTGAAGCTTGAAATTGCCTAAATCAGATCGAAGTAAAAAAAAAAAAAATCCTTACAAGTTTATTTTTTTATTTTAAGTTTGACCAAATCGAATTTCTTTAGTCACCTAAAAATGTGACCCTGGAGCACTAAACCAGTCTTAAGTCACTGGGGTATATTTGTAGCTATAGCCAAAAATACATAGGTTAAAATGATTGATTTTTCTTTTATGCCAAAAGTAAAGATCATGTTCCATGAAGATATTTTGTACATTTCCGTAAACACTTAATTTTTGATTAGTAATATGCATTGCTGATAAGAACTTCATTTAGTGAAGTGACATGTGGTGACCCATACTTGGAATTAGTGCTCTGCATTTAACCCATCCAAAGTGCACACACACACAGAGCAGTGGGCAGCCATTTATGCCGTGGCGCCCAGGGAGCAGTTGGGGGCCTTGCTCAAGTGCACCTCAGTCATGGTATTGAAGGTGGGAGAGAGCACTGTACATTCACTCCCCCCACCTACAATCCCTGCCGGTACGAGACTCGAACCCACAACCTTTGGGTTACGAGTCCGACTCTCTAACCATTATGCCAAGACTTCCCACTCATTTAGACAACTTTAAGATTTTTTGCACCCTCAGTTTCCAGATTTTCAAATAGTTGTATCTTGGCCAAATATTGTCCTATTTTTTTATTTCAAATGATGTAAAAATCTCATTTTCACAAAATTGACCCTTATGACTGGTTTTGTGGTCCAGGGTCACAAATGTACTTTCAACCAAATATAGTTTTACATACCACAAATTATCACTAAATCTATTTGGATTAGCTTAAAGTTTTACATATTTTTAAATCAAATATCCTGATAAATACAAATCTACGTTGTGCATATTAAGCACGCTGAATAAAAGTGACCCAATAAGTAGCCTCAAAATTATTTTGTGGTTCTCTGACAGGATTAATAAAATTTTGCACACTTTGTTGTTTTATTTATTATAGAACTCTACTAAGTAGCTAACAAGTTATCGAGAAATGTGAAACAGTGCATACATAGTATGCTAAATGCAAAGCGTTAAACACTTTTCGCAACAAAACTGTAATAACATGAGCTGTACCAGTCCAAAGCCTAAGCAAATGCTCCACTCTTCTCCACAATGGTAATCCAGTGTCATTTAAATGGCTCTGTTTATTGCAACATAATTGAACATTAAACACTAGCATGTCGCTTTTCTCATCTTTCTCAAAAACACATAAAATAATTAATTTCATAATTTTTTACTCTCCTCATTAAGTCCCAAGCACAGCATGCTGGGAACAATTCTCAAACCGAACCTCGATGACGTCAGTGGGGATATGGTTTTCAAAGAAAGCAAAATTGTCATTTGATTTGATGCAAATAGTTTAAATTTCACCAACAAAACGCCACTAAAGGCCAATTCACACTGCACATATTTGTTGGCATTTGTCTATGCGGTGTAAATTGGCCTTAAAAAGCACCAAAACATTGTCGATTAAAAGTGACTGAGAAAAAATGTTGAAAATAAGTGAAGTTACTGAAGCTCCTGCAGTTTTTGATTGCAGATGATAACTGGGTTACACTTTATTTCGATAGTCCACTTTAGACATTCTACTAACTATAAGTAACTTTGTAACTACATGTCAACTACATGTCAACTAATTCTCATTAATTTGCAACTACATGTCTACTAACTCAGAGTAGACTGTTAGGGTAGGTTTAGGGTTAGTAGAATAAGATGACAAAGAAAGTGTTAGAAGATATTAAGCAGACAGTCTACTAATACTCTACTAACTGCTAGTTGACATGTAGTTGCAAAGTTACTTACTGTTAATAGAATGTCTAAAGTGGACTATCGAAATAAAGTGTTACCGATAACTGCTTTGAATTTTTTTTCAGTGTTCATATATGTTTTGAGACCAGTATGTTTTTTTTTCTTCTACAGGGTGTAGTAGACAGCAGTACATACGTAGATCTGCTGTGGGCGGAAATTAAAGCAGCTCAATCAAAAGTGTAATGACATATTAAATACATGACGTACAAGTTTGAAATTACTTAAAAGTATATTTTAGTTACCATAATAAGTACAGTACTTATCAGTACATTCGTCAGCACACGTTAACCATATTTCAAAGACAATAGATTTATGCAATTACATATTAAAGATGTAATTAAGTCCAACTGGGGTGGGTCAAAAGCACTATTAAGTTCATCTAATTGCATTTAATTGAAATTTAAACTATAATGCATTTTCAGTGCAATTGCAATTAATAAACAGTTAAGTGTCAGAAGATATTGCATTCAGTTCACACTTAAAGGTGCAGTAGGAGATCTTGGAAAATGCTAACTTTAGCCTGATAGCACTGAAAGCGAACGTCCCACCCTCCCTGCAATCGCCATCCAAAGCCACGCCCCCTGAACGCATTTACGCTCACAGACCAGAATACCAGAGACAACATTACTACAATAGGCTACTATCGGTCACTTGTCCACAGAATTAGTATTTTCTGTACAGTGAATGGCACGTAGTGCACTATATAGGGGACAGGGAACGATTCGAACAGTGTAAATATGCTTTCCATTGAGGAAAAAAGAAGTCTGGTTTGGCGCTGTCACGCTAACCACCGCACCTCACACACACTCTGCTCCGGTCCAGAGACACGATAGCACGGAGCGGATCACATTCGCGAGTCGGCGCAGACCACAAAATGTATCGGAGCTATTTGAATTCTACACAGAATGCTATATTTTATAGCAATATGGATGAGAAAAAGGGGCGGGGCTGCTTGATATGTCCCGCCTTGTCTTCCTGTTTCAGTTCAAATGACGTCAACACATAGAGTAACGCTGCGGGTTTCTAAGCATTTCAGGGGACCTTTAAGTATATGCTTTTAAATTATATTATTTCTCTTGAAATCATTTCCTCTTCAAGTCTATTATTACTATATTTTTAATAGTATATTCAAATGTGCTTCCTTTTCCAAGAGTGAATGTTAATGCTGTGTTCATGCACTTTACTAACAGTATACATGGTATTGCTTGGGTTCATGTCTATAAAAACATGGTAGTGCCACGGCACTTTATTCTTGTGAAATTATGTGTTTTCTACCAGTTTCCCCTGAGATACAGTTATGAGAGCTGGAAACTTTTCCCTTTCAGTTCTCATTTGTACCTTCACAGATCTCCACAGGTTTGGACAGTCTGACTCTTTCTGACTTCAGTCCTGGAAGTTCTGCTCTCAGTACTCCATTGTGCATCCAACCCACAGGCCCGATACCCACCACCTCCAGTGAATGGCTGAAAACCCACGGCCTGAAGGGTATTTCTGATAGAAGAATGTCTTTTGGGTTCACTTTTCAGTTTCAGCATGAAACAGTATTTACAACCCAATTCAGCTCTGTAATGTTACAAACGCATGACACATATGGCACATTTCTGAATGTACCAGAATTCAACTAAATGTGGCAAGACTTGTTTATCCTTGGGAATTTAAGAAAAGAAATATGAACAGTTGCTATTTAATATTGACTTTAAATATCAAATACATTTTAAGATGGTCTAAATTTTCTAGAATATGACCAAAAAGCACAATCTGTAAATCTTACAAACATATTTGCATGTGTCAGTTTATTTGCCAGTGTATATGCTGGGCAAGTCTCCTTGATCCGAGTGGTTAGTCTTGGCTAACAGTTGTGTTCATGCAGCTCAAAAGCTGGATCTGTATCAGCTGCTGGCTCGTAACGCCTATTGTCCACAAGAGACGTTTGTGCCAATCTTGGAAAAGACTGTTTCCTCTACAGTTCATGTGGTGATGAACATGTCCTGCTGCATTTACGAATCCAGTTTGAGGCCCATCTGTTCACCTGTACAGCAGACTTACTGAACTAACTCACTTGTGTTTGTCTGCAGCGGGTCAGGGTACGGGTTGAGTGGCATGATGGGACAGTGAAGTATTTGCATGTCGATCTTCCATCGGTGCAAAAGTACCAGGTACATTTTATAAACCAAAAATTCCATATACCATTCTAAGACCAACTAGAAACCATGTGAAACCAGCTGCAATCGTACAAGAATTGTAAATAATGTTAGCTGTTTTGCCTTCAAGAGCACCAGGTTAACACCTACTTCTGAGCAAACTTTTCGTGTGCAACACCTATTATTAAAATATGGAGCCTGACATGCAGGGAAAAAAATCTTATCCTCATTTGTTCCCCCATTAAGGTAAATTGTGGCCACATTGAATTAATCCATTACCCTGTTTTAGCTCAATTGTGGCTACAATTTAACTAAATTGAAATGAGGGAGCAAATTAGTATAACTTGGCCACATTTTAGCTAAAATGATGGAACAAATTAGTACGTGGCCACAAGTCAGGGAGTGATTTCTTAACTTGTGTCGATAATATCTATATATATATATATATATATATATATATATATATATATATATATATTTTTTTTTTCACTCAGCATGTCATTGTCAACAGACACTTAGGCAGCAGTGAACACTGCATTTGGTTCCTATGAACTGGAACTCCACCTGTTGTAGAAGGAAGGCAATGCAAACACTGTTTTTCCACAACTACAACGCTACACTGTCTTGCTGTCTTCGGAGCATCTTTATCGTTTGGTTTCTGTATAGACCTGCGCTTGCCACTCTTGTCATTTACCTAGGCTACTACGTGCACAAATCGGTGGGCGGGGCTAAACAGGCAGTGATGCAGAAGCAGGCATTGATCTTCTTCTGCAGAGGTGGTGTTTAGCCACACTATTATGTCATAAAGTAGAACATTCCTAAAGCTGTCTTTTTGGCTTGTTTTTAGACTAATGAGAAAGGCTTGAGTTCTGAAACTTACAGGATGTTTTTATAGCACAATCACCTCTTTTACAGTGTGTTAAAAGATCAGGGGAATCAGTTTATGACCCCTTTAATAATCCCACGAACTGCATAAACCCTACAATATACAAAACAACAACAACAACAGAAGTGTGCATTGCTGTCTCGATAGTCTGAATGTTTTTTTTTAAGTGCACTCAGCAGCCAGTAATTGAAAAACACACCACACAAAATGCATTGTGGTCAGCACAAACCATGTTTATTCTTGTAAGACAAATTTAAGTATTAGTGCATATTGATCATTGTTTTCCAGCCTATAACTTTGGTGGAAATCCAATAACGCTGATGTTTTTGCTGGGCCAGGAGGATGCAGGGATGTGGAGTGTGTTTGTGTGCCTCAGTTGCTCTTTCTCTTTTTCTCCATGCAGGGTGCAGGTTCTTCTGGACATGTCTGGGATGAACGCCCACTACCAGCTCCATCTCCAGCACGCCCTGCGAATACTACTGCAGGAGCAGCTGGCCAACAAACACAGCTTCAATATCATCGTGTAGGTCAAACACACCGTCGGGGTGTCTTCACTCATTTATAGTGTGACAGATTATGATCTGCTATGTCATTTAGTCCTAAAGTCTCCCGTCTCTTTCGCTCTTGAAGTCATTTATATCTTGAGATTTTCCTCTATATAGCCTACACCAGCCAAAAGTTTGGACACACTTGCCTAAAAAGCTTTCCGTCTAATGGTTTATGCTTAATTACTTTAAGTTGTGCAATTCTCTATATAAATATAAAATGTGATTTGTAATTGACAGTTTTCGAAAACTAAAACGTACAGTTTTCTATAAGATTGGGTCACCCAAAAGTGAATATTCTGTTGTCATTTGCTAATGTCGTTCCAAACCCGAAGACTTCCATTCATCTTCAAAACACAAATTAAGATATCTGAGAGATTTCTGTTCCTCCATTGAAAATCCATTCCACCAAAACGTTCAAGCTTCAAAAGGTTCATACAGACATCATAAAAGTAATGCATATTTCCCAAAAGGAAAACTTAAATCTACGCAAATGGTAGCGATTGCTTTGATTTAACATTTCATTCCCATACATCCATTTGTTTTTTTCATAAAGTTTTCATGGTGGTATTAATCCCAAAATATGAACAACATCAAAACTAAAGAATTAGTTGGTGTGTCCAGACATCTGAATGGTAGTGTCTTCTTTTCATTGGGAGTCCAGTCTGGTCTGCAGAAAAAGGAACACTACGAAAAAACTAACATTTGCATCTATACATTAAATTGTCACAATATGTTCGTATTATTTTAAATTTAGTGCAAAACAGCTCATATAAATGCAAATTATAAACTTTTCAGTTGTGAGTAACACTGCGCAACAGCAAAAAAAAAATTCAGGTGCATGTACAAGCAGGAATGACCGGGACTTTTCTCAGTGGACTGGTCAACTTGTGGTCCAGCTGTCGAGCCCACATTTAGATACCAAGTAAATAAACAAAGATTTTATTAGGTGAAAAAAATGCTGACATCATCTGACTGGCCTATTTAAACTGCGGTGCTGGCAACATAGTCAACAGTTTTGAAAAAATTGTAGGCCTATATATATATATATGAGAACTAGATAATACAGCAGGCGTTATGTTGTTATTCGGCTGGTACAAGTGTCAGGCTGTGTTGAAGTCCTAGTCCATTTTTGCTCCTGATATATATCAAAGTACTATGGTATTACCTCCACTCTTAATAATAATAGCTCTTTATTGGAATATATTCCTTTTCACAATAGTGGTTCTTCAGATTAATAAATTCTTCACACTAAGAAAACCTGGTTCTTTTTGGAACTGTTCACTGAAAGGTTCTTTGGGGAACCAGTAATGGTTCTTCTGTGACATCACTGTGAAAACCCCCTTTTGGGAGCTTTATTTTTAAAAGTGTAATTTTGCAAGGGCATACTGAATTGGCTTCTACAGCACATGTGCCTGTACAATCATATCACAATCATAAATTGCTTTTCACAAATCAGTGCCGATGTCCTTTATTAATAACAGAGTCATATTTGCACCATCACACACAGTTGCAGAGGAAATGAAGGCAGTAATGGCCCAGTCGAAAGCCTCTGTACCATTTATCGTAAGTCTTCGGCAGTTGTCAGCTCCTGTTTTAGCATAGTCATGAGCGATCTACTTTAGTCTGGCATAAATAGAAGTCTTAATAAATTTTGCCTGAGAGAGAAGCGCACATACCTGCTCTTAATACTGCAGAGCAGCTGCACGGCTTCACTACAGAGCATTTAATCATGTCACATGACTCAGCCGGTTACCTGTTTTTAAATTAATCTCAATTTGTATGGCGGAGCCACATTTACATACACACAAATCATGTCACATGACTCAGCCGGTTACCTGTTTTTTAATTAATCTCAATTTGTATGGCGGAGCCACATTTACATACACACATCGTGTGCTATTAAAAGTGTCATTAATGTTCTTTGACCTTGTTGAAATACAGAGTTCTGGCATGAAACTCTAGATGGTGCAGGTCTAACTCAATCTGACCTAATGATATCATTATCACATGGCACAGCTGATTGGTTCTCTCCTGTATCGGTAGCCAATGAGCTCGCTGCTCAACATTCAAATATATTACTAGTGCTTGCCGTAGCAGTTGCAGCTTGCTTCAGAAACCCTCCACCTTCCCCAGCTCCACCTGTATAGATCTGCTATGAGGTGATTCATGTACGCTATATGGGCGTTATTTCATGTGTTATATTTGCAGCAGCAATATTTCTTACATGCTCACAGCAGCATGTTGTGGATGTACTGGCAGTAGCAAGTCTCGGTACTAGCTCTGCCGCAACAGCAGTGTAGCAGATCTATTCGCCAAGACCAAACACATTAACATTGTCATGTACATTACCGTGCCAATCCCTCCAAGAGTTGTCATGACAGAACTTTGTTTAAAAATGTATATGCTTGTGTTGGAATTTTAAGTATTTCCATGACGTGATTGTATATAAATAGAAAGTAAATGAGAATGGAAATAAATAGCCATTAACAGTTAGCTTGTATAAGAGCATTGACTTGAGGTTCATTTTAATGTTTATTTTAACCATCCTTTGCTGCCACATTCACTATACTGTATGTGATTTTGTCAATGTTCATCACAGTTTTGGATCAGATGTCAAGTCATGGCAGGAGAAGATGGTTCCCTCCACCCATGAAAACCTTCAAGCTGTTTGGCAGTAAGAGGACAGGATGCGCTTTTGACTTCACAGTCTGTTGTTCTCTTTCTCATTTTCTCTACCTCCTTCTGTTTTTAAAGGCCTTTCATTAGTGGTGTTTGCTATTGCTACTGCACTACCAGATCAGAGTTTAATCAAAACTCAATAAAAATAACTGAAATCACATCAATCAGGTCTCTGAAAATTAACTAGTCAATCCAATTTTAGGCATTTCATTCTGTGTTCACTTAGTCTATTTCAGTTGTGTATTTCATTCTAGTAATTGTTTTTGTCCCTAAGTTAATTTAATCACTTGCGAGCCAAGGTCCTGTCACACGTAGTGCACAGTATGTGGATTTGTTGTCTAGGGGCCATCACATTTCTTGTGGTAATCACTTATTTTGTGGAGTTTACAGGATAATTTTTTTTATTTGTTTATTGGGTGCCACTCTTTGGAGTTAGGAGATATAGAACTTTTGAATGCAGCCCAATGGAAGACTTTTCATGATTGGCCATGCATGATGTAGATGTAGGTGAATTTGCTTCTTCATTGGAACAGATTTGTAGAAATGTAGCATTCCATGACTTGCTCACCAGTGGATCATCAGCCGTGAATGGGTGCCGTCAGAATGAGAGTCCAAACAGCTGATAAAAACATCACAATAATCCACACCACTCCAGTCCACCAGTTACCGTCGTGTGCTGTGTGTTTGTAATGAACAAATCCATCATTAAGATGTTTTTAATCTTCAAACCACTGCTTCCGAGTAAAAGATGAGTTTTCCATATTGCTTTCGCCAATGAAAAAGTCGCCGCGTCTGAATTAGGAGAGTAATATGCACAGTCAAAAACATCTCTAAACAAGTATGTCAGTGGTTTTTGATGTGCAAGGGCAACAGGGGATGGACTTTTTCACTTATTATGAATTATGGACTCATATGTTGGCCAAAAGTGATGGTTTCAAGTTAAAATGCCTTAGTAATGTATGTTTTTTTAAAACACAAACACAGCTTTTCACTTCACAAAATGTTAATTGATGGACTGAAGTGGCGTGGATTACTTGTGATGTTTTTATCAGCTGTTTGGACGCTCATTCTGACGGCACCCATTCACTCAATGGTGAGCAAGTGATGCAATACTAAAGGACTGAGGACTTTGGAGACATTTGAGACAGACCTAAAGTTTTTGTTTTGAATGTTTTGGTATAAATGTTATTCAAACATAAACATGGAAATAAATACATATTTTTATTGGACAAATTAATTGACATTATAAAAACTCATATGTGACCTTGGACCACAAATCTAGTCATAAGGGTCAATTTTTTGAAACTGAGATTTATACAGTATCTGGAAGCTGAATAAATAAGCTTTTCAATTGATTTATGGTTTGTTAGGATATTCCGAGGTAATATTTGGCCGAGATACAACTATTTGAAAATCTGGAATCTGAGGGTGCAAAAAAAAATAAAAATCTAAATATTGATAAAATCGCCTTTAAAGTTGTCCAAATGAAGTTCTTAGCAATGCATATTACTAATCAAAGTTTACTTTACTTTACTTAATATCCTAATGATTTTTGGCTTAAAAGAAAAATCGATAATTTTGACCCATACAATGTATTGTTGGCTATTGCTACAAATATCCCCCAGCGACTTAAGACTGGTTTTGTGGTCCAGGGTCACATATTTAAAACTCTTTATTTATTTATTTTTAAATATAGTTAATATAAATAATACAAATATAAAATAATGTTCAATAAAAAATATTTTTTTTAAATGGAAAAATAAATGGACAGTTTAAAACTGTTTAATTAATTTAATTTGCTTATTATTCAATTAAAAATTAATTCATTTATTGTTTAATTATTGCACTTAACTACATTTAAAGACATGAATTTAATAGTTGTAAATATGTATTAATTAATCAATTAAAAAACTTATTTTTTAAAATGTATGTTAGAATTAATTGATAATTTATTCCTAGTCCTCCATACAAAACCATGTTGAACCCTTCAAATACAAGCATGCCAGCCACTGCTGCCCTCTGCTGCTCAAATATAAAATATGCAGTTTCTGCATTTTAATACAGATGTATCATCACATTTTTCTTCTGCAAGCTACTATCAAAAAGCAGTCACAGTGTTTTTCATACTCTGATTCTCAGGTTTCTGTCACTAATTATGTATCAGAGTGCTGCAGCGCAACAAACCTGAATCTCCACGTGTGCCTGTTCACCGGAGAGGAGGACACTGCCCGCTGCCCTCCGCCCCCCGCCCCGTTACACCACCCGGACAGAAACCGCCCGAAACGGACGCTTCCTTTGGATGACTGAGACTGGTGAGAAGAGAGTGTCTGAGTGATACGTCACTGACTTTTTAGGAAAGATGAGTTTGAAGTAGAAGGTAGGACAGAATTACAGGAACTACTGTGAAAAGAAGTTTTAGTTTAAAGATTTATTTTGTTGTTCAGCTTTTGAGACAGTTCTGAGGTCATGTGTAAAAGTCCCCAGAGCGGCTGTTTTCTTGAGCTCTGATGTTGTGCTGCTTTTGTCTCTGTCATGTGTACAACACATGGTCCCTGAACCCAGTGCAGCTTACAATGGGAAGTCTTGTGTTTGTGTGTGTGTGCAGTGGAAAATATGAGCCTCTGCCTCGTCTTTCCCTGCATGCATCGTGGGGAGTGATGACATCAGTGCCCTAATTGCAGAAATGGAGACGGCCGCTAATTATTTTCAGAAGGTGGGTTTAGAGCACTGCGATTTTCTCACATGACCTATACGTGACATGTGTCCACGGTGTCTAAATAATTCATGGGAACCCGAGGAAAGTTTGAAGCACACCTGCAAGAAATGATCAGTTGTTGATGTTTAGAAAGGTTCATCCAAGACTTTGTGTTCATTCAAAACCAGCTGGATTTGCTGAAGATGTTTCATTACGCATCCGAGCTGCGCCGCCATCTATTCAATCAAGTCCAGTTGCTTTTAAAGCCGCAGTGAAATCAGTAAATCAATAAATGACTGAGGCTCTTTGCTTTCTTAATAGATATGCTACTGTTTAAATATTATGGGTTAAGGAAGATTAAAAAAAAAATATATATATATATATATATATATACTTTTCCTGTTGAAAAATCCAGCATATGCTGGTTAGGTATGTTTTGAAGCATGGCTGCTGATTTGAGCCGGTCCTTAGCTGGTCATGAGCTGGTTTCAGGAGAGATCAGCTGTGCCATGTGATAATGATGTCATTAGGGCCTTTCGCACCGCAGGAACCTTTTCATAGTACCAGAACTAATTGTGGAACTACCCATTTTTGGGCGTTTTCGCACCGCCGCAACTGGGTGCGATTTTAGTACCGGACTGCCTTTTTCAAGAACCAAATTAGCTCCTACTCTGGAGTGTAATGCTTCATATATTGGACATTCATCCATGTTTTTTTCTGCAGTGCACTGAATTAGTGTACTCTCTGATCTAGAAGGGCTCTGACAGGGGTTCAGGAGAAACGAGAACCCCATCCATTAAACCCCAGACCCGGACTCGCAGAGCAAAACTGCCATCTCCTCGACCCACACCACTCAGCCTTGCTAGACTGGTCAGATCACTCTCTTCATCCCACCATCAAGCATATTATGCTTGACCTATCATGATGCTATCATTGTTGGTCATCAGCATGCGTTGTGTTTGGGATGCTGGTGCTCTCATCACGCTTCATTCAGACTTCAGAGTTTTCAAGAAGTCCTGTTCAACTTAAACAATAAGAGACCATCTGTCTGACATGCAAAGTGACCAAACAGTTTGTTTGGTTGATATGTGCTGTTTAAGTGCAGCTTTACATGAAGTTGTTAAAATGACAGACTGTGTAAACCATCTTCGAGATTCATGCTGGTCTAAACTGGTCTTTTCAGTAGGACACTTAAAGTGATTTTGTCAGCATGTAAGAACCCTCATGCCATTCCAAACCTGTATTTCTTTCTTCTGCTGAACAGAAAAGAAGATATTTTGAAGAATGTTGATAACCAAACAGTTTTGGTGACCATTGACTTTCACTGTATTGGCCAAAAAACACTGAGTTATAAACAGTGTTGGGGGTAACGCATTACAAGTAGCGCAAGTTACATAATCAGATTACTTTTTTCAAGTAACTAGTAAAGTAGTGCATTACTTTTAAATTTACAGTGAAGTATCTGAGTTCTTTTTTTTTTTAAATAAGCAATGCCAGTTACATTATTTTCCTATTTATTGACTGGCTCAGCTCTCCTAAGTAATGCAATTAGTTACTTTTTATGGAGTAACGCAATACTGTAATGCATTACTTTTGAAAAAGTAACTTTCCCCAACACTGGCTGTACAGGTCTGGAATGACATTTTTAGGCAGGGTTACCAGGTTTTCACAAGAAAACCCGCCCAGTTGCTACTCAAAACTAGCAAACTTGGCAACACTGTTTTTAGGTGAGCTATCCCTTTAAAGATTTATCAGAAAGATGTTTTCATAATGAATGCTTTTTCATCATGATGTCCGCTGTGAACAGGAAAGCAGGCAGAAGAGCAGATTGGCACAGAACGGCTGGGCTTGGAGGCCGAACAGCTCTAAAGCAGATATCCCACCAAGTGTGATGTCTTATCAACATCCTGACTGTAATTATTAGAGATCATATAGTAAATGCTCTCTATTTGCCATCATTTATACTCTAAATATATGTAAATATATTAACTTTTGTTTTATATTGCTCCAAGTAACTCATTCTGTCCACGTCAGATTCTGAAAGCAGTGTCTATATTTGTCTCAGTCTGATTGCCTCTGAGACTAAATGCTGGACTATTTATGTGACTCATGATGCATTCCTATTTTTTTTTCTTCTGAACATTTAATTAGTCTTTTTTATAGTCCAATCAGCTGATATCGGCACGGCTGTCAAGGTCTGCAGATCAGGAAAACCAACGTGTCACAGTCTGTCTTCTTCATGGAAGACGGCAACTTGGGTTAGTGGGAATATAGATTTGCCATGTTTGTCTTGCCATAGCCAGATATATGAACACATGAGATCCACACATATTGATTCCTGGCTCATATTGTGTCATATAGTGTTGATTGTCCTAACTAGGTGCTGTCTTCAATAAATATCCAAAACCAAAGAGTGTGTGTATGTCTATCACCACTATTAAACTACCAAAACATGAAGACATCTATTCAGCTAAACAAGTTCCTTATCAAAAAGTAGTATACTTTAAGTTTATTTTAGTAAGTATACTTAAGTAAAGTTCAAGTATATTTTTAAGTATACTTTATGTAGTAAGTATACAAATATCAGTGTACTAGTAGTATACTTGTAAGTGTACTATTTCAATACTCCTTGGGACTAAATTGGCCCACTTTCTAGTATATAAAAGTATACTTTAAGTATAACAGTAGTAAACTTTGAGTACACAACTAGTTTACATCAAAATGTTTAGTTTGTACTGCAACTATACTAAAAGTGAACTTATATGTATACTGATAGTTTACTAATTAAATACTTGTAGTAGCATTTTTATTTTTAATACTGTGTTTCCAACGACATACTCACCCCCACATTCTTCACACTTCACATTATATCTTCACCCTTCAATCTCCAATGAAGACGTCATGAGCCTGAAAAAGAGAACTTAGGCTAGTTTTTGCTATTCAGTGATTAAAAGCTATTTAGTGTATTAGTTTGTAAAATGCATCATATTGTATGGTCTGTCTATTGCATGATTGCTTTTTATTCAGTGTATCGGTAACACAATATATAAGACTGAACAATGCTTTTAAAGCATTTGTTTACCTTGACGTAAAAATGATAGTGTATTAAGAAATATAAAATAAAAACAAAACACAGTTAGCATTTAAACACAGTTAAATCTAACAATGAACAACATCAACGTTACCAGGATTACACCCAAAATTAATTTTCCTTCTGCAGAAGGAGAATTTGTAAGGACATGAGGACATGAGTGAGTAAACCAGGCTGTCATCGATACAATCAGCTGCCGCAGGCTATTCTTATTAGGTCAGATTGAGTTAGACCTATCAGACTGCGCCATCTAGAGTTTCATGCCAGAACTCTGTTTTTGTTTCTGATATAGCATAAACGTAATGCTTCATACATTGGACATTCATCCATGTTTTTTTTCTATGTTTAATGTACCTGTACTTTTGATACTAGCTATATAGACTATTTTAATGTTAGTTATTTTAGTACATTTAGCCTTCTTACGTATTTTTCTGTCTTAATTCACTTGTCCATAGACGTCGGTTTTTATCTTACTTTTTGTATTACTATTAGGCTATTAGGTAGGCGTGTATGTACGTATCTGTGCTCCTTCTTCTTCTGAATATTGTTAGATTGAGAAAAGCTATGGCGTGAACGATTGGCTCGTGCTGATTGGCTGTGAGCGCGGTGTTTTACGGTAACGCACTCAGGTGAGGCGCAGGTGTTTGACAGACACCTGAACATCATCAGAGACACCGGCGGGATGCACTATGATCAGTGACTGACAGGTAAAAAAAAAAATATTTTTTCAATAATGACATAAATACAGGCTGCAGGTGCAGAGAAAGCTGGGACATGCAAATGTAATGAGATCCTGGCTATTTGCGAATATCGATTAAAGTTCAATTTTATTTGTATCATCTAAGTGTTATATTCGATGGCTACTGGGGCACCTAAACAGATTGTTTTATTATTGATATATCAGTATTTGAGAAACTAGTAGACTATAGTTTCCATTCTGGGTCACACTTTCTTTTGTATAGCTACCATTAATGTTCCAAGGCACTTTATGGCACAATATACTGTATAACCATATGGTCTAAAAGTTCTGTTCCTAAAGAATGTGTGCAAGATTCATGTTCATGGTGTTGTTTGAATCATGATTTGCAATGCAACCTTAAAGGTCCTATATCAAGGTGAACTTAGAATGCTATTAGATTTGTTGTTTTGTCATGATTCTTGTTTTGATACTGGAAAGTTTATGCAAATTGCACATGAAGCTGTACAATTCTGAAATATGCTTGCTGTCCTACAGAGGCGTGTGTGTGTGTGTACAGGTTTATATCCTGGTGGGGACTTAAACCTGAATACACACAGACTCATGGGGACTCGTGTCACGGTGGGGACCTAAATTGTGGTCCCCGTGGGTACAAAAGCTTATAAGTCATACAGAATTAGTTTTTTTTTTTTTTGAGAAAGTAAAAATGCAGAAAGTTTCCTGTGAGGGGTAGGTTTAGGTATAGGGCAATAGAAAATACAGTTTGTACAGTATAAAAACCATTATGCCTATGGGGAGTCCCTACAAGGATAGCTGACCAGACTGTGTGTATGTATGTGTGTGTGTGTGATTTAACCATAAAAATGTCACACCAACAAACACTACATTCAATTGTTTATTGTATTGTATTGTATTGTATTGTATATCAGTGTGTGGGTGTGTGCTGGAAATTGTGAAAATGTTCCCAATTACTGTTTTCCAATAACTTTTAAAAAAAGATTAAATGTTGATGATTTTTCTTCATATTTACATATTTCTATTTTCTTACATGTATGAATGCCATTGTGCAAAACCGAGTATTGAGACATGGGGCAGTCAGGCTAGAGAAGTAATTATTTTGGATTCATCTGTTCAGCATGTTCAGTAAACTCCCAATTAGCTGCTTATTAATAAGTTAGTAAAGTAGTTGTTAAGTTGAGGTATTGGGTAGGATTAGGGATGTAGAATATGGTTATGCAGAATATGTGCTTTATAAGTACTAATAAACAGCCAATATGTTAATAAAATAATAGTGAGAATTAGTCCCTATACTAAAGTGTTACCATGCTTTCATAGATTTTTGTCGGCAAAAAAAAGTAGAAACACAGATGTGAAACCTTTTGAAAGAGGTACATAGTTTATTTTAAACATATTTATTAATTACAGTTTTTCTTGAAGGTTTCATATTTGCAGTCATAAGTATGTGTTTTATTGGTGGAACACCAAAGATATTTTGGAAAAATGTCTTTGTTTGTTTAGCCATACAATGGGGTCAAATATTTTTGGGCTTCACTGATTTGTATTATATGGACAAAAACAGTTGAAAGAAAGTCATATAGGTTTGAGTAAATGATGATTTTTATGTATTTATTTTCATTTTAGGGTGAACTAGTCCTATTAAATTAATACATATTTAATGTATTTCTGTCAGGACCTCTATCATCAAAGATGATTAACAATTAGCATACAGTTTGGATTGGCGGTATAGTTCTGTTCAAGAACTCCCTGCGCATCCATGCAGCCTAGAGCAGCGATACCCCCCCCCCAGAACAGAACCAATGCAAATATCGTTACATTTCAATAATGTTATGTACACATTTTAGAATTAGTCTGATTCAAGGAGAATCAGAAGGCTGACTCCTGACTGACAGAGGGGGAGTTGGGGATGGAGGAGGGTAATTAGCTATTAAGCAATGCGAAAACTGCTGATAATACTGCGGGACCTTATATATGAATGCTTAGATAGGTCTCGTATTCCTATAGGTTAATGGGGATCAGCTGAGAGTCAGCTGATGCGAGCTTGACTAACGTGACCTGCCAGAACTAAAGCTACGCTAGATTTGTGTATTTGACTTATAGTCTGAGGATGGGTGGTTTTATGCAACTGTAATTCAATGCATAATAGGGACTCAAGTAATGTCACATGCAATATATTTAATTGGTTTTGTCTCAAGTCATAGTGATCGTTTCTGTGGAATTGGAAATCTTGCTATATACTAATAGTTGTGGGACGTGAGTCGTCCCATGTCTCAGTTTTGGTAACGGTTTCAAAGTCAGTGCCCAGTGTGTAAGGAAAAGTTTGGCATCTGCCTCTTTACATGGAGTGGTGAATTATGCATCCATTCACTCACTCATAGGCAGATCTGTTTCACAGCGCCGCTCATTCATTAGACTCTCACTGTCTCTGATCTTCCCCAGACTGGAGGTATCTGAAGCCACGTGTGCATTATGAAGGAGAACAGGTCCTTGTGTCAGGTGGAGCAGCTGCCCTGTGCGTGTCTGCTAGACTGCCACCGACAGACCCGCAGCACTGCAGGGGCCCCGATTCGACACAGAGCCAACGGGGCGGTGGGCGCCTTGTGCAACAGTCCTAACTGCGTGGTGGCCGCCAGGCTGGATAACTCAGAGCAGGGGCGGCACGGGGCCGGCAGGGTCCTGGTCACCGGAGGGGCCGGATACTTTGGATTCAGGCTGGGCCGCGCTCTGGCAGGCCAAGGGGCCACGGTCTTACTCCTGGATCTCCACAAGCCGCCCTGGGATATCCCTGATGGAGCCGTCTTCCAGCAGGTAAAGTGAAACTGGAGAGGAGAGCATTGGGCTGAGGGGCGGTTGGGCAGCGGACTGTAACAGAAGCAGATGGGTGCCAGGTGCAGAGTACGCAAGGTGATGCAGGACAACGGCCTCGAGTTTCAGCGAAGAGTTTTTATGACTCTTCTCTGACGTGCTCGGGTGTCTCAGAGAAACCTTCAGGAAGAGCCGTGAAAGTGAATCTGAAACTGCCATGTCAAACAGAACTTGACAAAACCATGTTGTAGTTTAATGGTCTTAAAGGCAGCTTTTGCAACTGGTGGGTTGTGACCAAAAAGTGTGGGCCAGGTCTGTTCTTACAGCAGGAGGGAAAAACAATATTAAATGCAACTAATAATATCATGGTTTAGAATAGCAAAATAATTTGTACCATGTTGCAACTTGATGTCCAGTGAAAGAAAACCAGTTGAGAACCAGTACGTTTTAGATGATATATGATGATCCAAAAATATTTACATGCTTCCATCAATCTAGAAACATTGTCTAAAAGTAAGCAAAAAGTAATGATTTAAGCAAATTGTTGTGGTTCTATTTATGCCAAATCTAAGCAAATTAATAAATAATTTCTGCACAGATTCTTTTTTTTACATTGCTGTTATTGAATAAGCATTGTTATAATTTTGTATATCTGTGTGTGTTTTACTTCAAGATTGATATCCGGGATTATGATGCCCTGTATAGGATCTGTGCGGGAGTGGACGTTATTTATCACACTGCTTCCTATGGGATGTCAGGACCTGAACAGGTCAGTAAGAATAGCATGCATCTAATGAGAGTTCGGTTTATATCTCTGAGACAGAACCAATTAAATATATTGCATGTGACATTACTTGAGTCCCTATTATGCATTGAATTACAGTATATTAGTATATACACATTTTAAAGTGCATAAAACAGGCCATATCACATCATTAAAATTGTTTGCTTGTATTGTATTTGTTCATAAGAACTCATATGGGTGATTCTTCACTTAGCTTTTAATTATTTATTAGCTTTGTTTTACAAGATGGATTATAGTTTTAACGTGGAGTGTACTTATGTGTTACATTTGCTATACTATCCTTATTTAAGACTTGCCTCCCACTCATATTTTAACTTCCCCAATATAATACATTTATAAATGCTGTCAAAAATTCTATTTTGCACTTTTCATAAAAACCCTAAAAATCATATTTTATATTATAAGTTTTATAACAAAGAACTGTTATGTTATGGCGTATTATGCCCATAAACAACACAATGAACGATAATCAGATATTCATTCCATGACGTGAGAAACGATTCGTTTTTTTAATATAACATGAGCATTATTTGCACGTTTGTATTATTCTGAGTGTGAAGGAGTGTACTACTGTCATACTGAAGTGAAATATGCTGGTCATGTATTTTCATGCTCTGCAGCTGAAGAAAAAGCAGATTGAATCAGTCAATGTTTGCGGCACGGACAATGTCATAAACGGTGAGCTGTCATCATTTGATTTACTGATACTGCAACTAATTGGACCTGTTATCCAAATAATGAGTGAAATGGTGTTTATAATATTTCTCATTAGATGTTCTAAATATAGTGAGCTGTCTATGAAGGTGCACTTCCGATGTGCAGATTATGAGATGCCCACGTTTGACCAAACTCACAGGCAACATCATGTGTATCTTTCGTAAAAAGGACCAAGAACGCATTGTGACAAGATCAGTGAAAAAATTGAGAAAGCAAAGAAATTTAAAAGTTGAATGTAACTTAAAATATGCTATTTTGGCCAATATTAGTGTGTGCTGAATATTTAGTTTTGGTTGGTGGTTGTAGTCTGTACGGAGCGGGGCATCTCTAGACTCATCTACACCAGCACAGTCAATGTGGCGTTTGCTGGCCGGCCCATCGAGGATGGAGATGAAGACTCAGTTCCCTGTGTGCCGCTGGACATGGTGAGACGGACACTGAGTGTGTTGTGATCTATTCTGCATTCAGCCATTTTCTGAAGTGTTCATATTGCTACATCAGGAGATCCATTTTTTAAAAATCATTTTTAAATTAACTTTGGTGTGGTGGCTCAGGGCTAATAACCGGAAGATGTTGGTTTGATCTTTGCAAGAAGAAAGCCACGAGCCCTTCATCAAGATACTTAACCACAGTATAAAAACATGGGGAGGAAAAAACCCAAGTCCAGACCCAAGTCTTATCTAAGGTTGCAAGAAGAAGCACCTTCAGAAAATGTGAAAATCTAATCTTCCTTTAACCGTATCCAATTTTTAATTAACACAAACCGATCTGTTTCATTAGTGAGCATTGTGATCATAGGCATCAGATGTGGATGACTTTCACTAGGGATAAGTGTGTCATGTTTGATGAACTCTGTGCTCCTGTGTGCTCCGCTTCACTGTCCTGACGAACAGTAGACTGAAGTTAAGGAAGGTTAATGGAATCAAATTAGTCCACCTGACACCTCACTCGTGTGATGAAGCCCGAAGTGCTACAGAAGTCACCTTCTTTTGTCTGCAGACTTCATACATGAATACATAACATCTGATAAATCATACAACAGTACAGCTTACACACTCAGATTTCACTTGTGCTCATTTTCGGTCGAGGACGGGTGATTATATGATATGATATGATATGATATGATATGATATGATATGATATGATATGATATGATATGATATGATATGATATGATATGATATGATATGATATGATATGATATGATATGATATGATATGATATGATATGATATGATATGATATGATATGATATGATATGATATGATATGATAT